TCACGCGCCAAAACAGCTACTTTTGAGTGAGCAAAGACGGTACGGCGCTCCTCCTGGCTGGCTCAAGCTGGCATCATAAAAGAATACTTAATTATTATTATTGTTATTATTAATTTTTTTTTAGATACATACATTAATTATTTCATTCGCTCCTTTTATTGCACGTTGAAAATTTTCATGTCTTATATATAGTCTCTCTCTTCACATATTTATTACAACATATTATCCATTCCACGACACAAAAAAAAAAATAAAAATAAAAAGAATATGTGAAGGTCTCACTGGACGATTCTGTCCACTCTTTTACAAACCCAATGAGGCACCGTTTTAGAAGAGCTAAAGTAAGTTTTTATTTTTTATTTTTTATTTTTTATTTTTTTAATCATAAAAGATAAAAATAAGTTATTTTAATCATAAAAAATAAAATATCATGATAAAAAATATAGATATCGATATCGATATATGAGTTGTGTGTTTGATGATGAATTATTGATTGAATTAAGTTTTGAAAATTACTTTCAAAACACATCACCAAACAAATTTTCACCTTTCACATGTCACATCAAACTTCCAAAACATAATTCAAAATACATCTTCAAAACACAATTCAAAACTCTATTTAAAAATCATAACCAAACAAATTTTCTACACTCAAATCATAATTCTACAACCCATAAACTCAAAATATAATTCATACTCTCAAATCACATTTACAAAACACAACCAAACGCAGGCTTCATGTCTTATATAGTCTCTCTCTTCACATATTTATTACAACATATTATCCATTCCACGACACAAAAATAAAATAAAATAAAATAAAAAGAATATGTGAAGGTCTCACTGGACGATTCTGTCCACTCTTTTACAAACCCAATGAGGCACCGTTTTAGAAGAGCTAAAGTAAGTTTTTTTTTTTAATCATAAAAGATAAAAATAAGTTATTTTAATCATAAAAAATAAAATATCACATTCAACTTATAATCATTACACTCTTTTCTCACAAAAAAAATCAAAAAAGTGAAAAAATTGAAAAGTCCTTCCCAAACTAAAATTTTTAGCCCAAGCTAAAATAACTAAAAAAATTAAAAAACCAAAAAATTAATCCACTTCCCAAACCAACCCTGACTATTGTTTTAGAACTTGCCAACATGAGGATCCTTTTTTTAGCAACTATGAGTTTATTAGTTTTTTATTTTTTATTTTTTAAATCACATTGTCTTTTTATTTTTTTACTTTTTTTTAAATTAAAAAATTAACTATTAACTTATTTTTTAAAATAAACCTAAATTTGTTTCAAAAAATTAAATTTAAAAAACACACACACACACAATGTGAAAAATCAAACCAAACAAAATCTTTTATGAACTTTTTTTTTTTAAAAAAAAGTGACAGTTTATTTGTTAGGTTTTTTGTAAAACTAGAAGGCCCCAAATTTTTTTAAAATGAACCAAATGAAACTTCTTATAATTTATTTTTTAGTGAGGTTTATCATACCATTACATGTAAGGTGTTTAAAAAAATCAGTAGAACCGGTAAATTGGTTCAAACTGTCAGTTTCATCTAATTTTGGTTCAATTTCTGGTTCCAAGAAGTTTCTTATAAGATTTGAAAGTAGTCTTTGTTGTGAAATTGGTAAATTTTAACCAACTCAACCAAATTAATTATTGTTAGTTTATTTAGTAATATAAAATATATGTCATATTTACAGAACTAAATCGGTTTCTATAATTTGTTTCTAATCCGATTTCACAAGTTTAACGGTTCAGTTATTATTTTAATTTTTCTAAAATCGTATCTACCATGTCAATTCCTAATTTTTCTAAAATCAAACGAATTCAATCCGTATATAACTTTAGGCCCCATTTGGGGAGAGGATTAAAAGTCAAAAGTTAGGTTTTAATCTATTTTGAATCACATTACCTCTCATATTTTTTATATATTTTTTCAAAAAAAATAAAAAAAAACTAAAAAATTAATTTTTAACTATCTTCCTAAAACACCTCTTAATTATATGAACTCTAAAGTTTGGAGTTTTTGATCTCAAACCAATTGAGACCACGGTTAGATAGACATATACGAGGCTAGTGTAGGGACTCGATTATTTTAGTTTATTTTTGATTATTTTAATTTGGTTAAAAAGTTTTATTTGGGATAATATTTATTTTTTTGTAATTGGTTTGATAATTTTGAAAGAAAAAAAGGTAAAATAATTATGATTTAGATATAATATTTTGTCTTATTAAGTTACTAGCATATGCCCGTGCCTAAAAGCACGGTGTAAATAATATTAAAATTAAAATACAGTTATAATTTAAACGCATTATGTTGAAATTTGTGAAGTTTGTGTCATTTTTTTAATAAAGATACTGAAAAAATATATTAAAATATTTTACTTCTTAAAAAATTTGTAACAATTTTGCTTATATTACACGCTCCACAAAATTCAAATAAAATAACAACTCCCCCTAATCTTGATGCAAATTAAGAAACAAATATTGAAAATCAAAATATAAGAGCAAGTAAAAAAAATTGTAAACACTAAACAAAAAACAAAAATTAAACTTATTGTATACTCGCTAACGTTTTATAATAAAAAGAAAAAAATTTACTAAATCTATATAATAAAGCACATAAGTAAGTGTTTTACAATCTCAACAATTAAATTGAAAATTAAATATCAAACAATACATAACAACCTGTACTTTACAATTTCAAACAAATCAAATATAAAATAATGCACACCAGCCAATGCTCTGCAATCTAAAAGAAATTAAAATTATAATTCACACCAGTTAGTGTTATATTGTCAAATTATAACTACATCAGAAAAACAAACATTATATTGTCATACACCAAAAGAGTGAGTTAAAACTTTACAAAAAGTGGGTTAAAGCTTTTAAAAATATGTATGCTTTACAAAAAAATCTGTCAATAACATGTCTTCAAACATGTGTTTGCCCAAACTTCTTCTTCATTACTTTTCAAAAAGTCTTTGTATCAACTTGTATGTATCCCCAATGAGGAACATGCACAACAATCTGGTAATTTGTAGAAACAAAAAAAATATAGATTAGCACATTTGTTGGAAATAAACTTCACAAATACTTTGAGATTGAAATTACCTTATTATTTGGAAAGGCATTTCTGAAGAAGATGGTGTCAAAGATATCCTTGGTATGAATGCGAAATTGCCAAACTTTTCTCCAGTTAAAATTTGAGCTTCAATTATGCGAGTGTTGCATCTAGTACCAGTGCCACCCCTGAGCATTGGCCAACAAGGCCATGGCCTAGAGCCCCTCAAGATAGACCTAAAAAAGGGGCCCCTTTTATTATGGTATAGTGTAATATATTAGGTATGTTTTAAGTTAAAAAAAATTAAAGAGAAAATATAAATTAACTTAAAATAAATTGACCCATTAAAAAATTAAAAGGTCCATTCAAAAAAATTAACATTGTAATTCACTAAAAATAGAACCAAAAAAGGATCCTCCTATTATAGTTTATTGTAATATATTAGGTATATTTTAAATCTAAAAAAAAAGTAAGGAAGACCCAAACTAACTTAAAATAAATTGACGTATTAAAAAATTGAAAGGCGCATTTAAAATAATTAGCATTGTTATTCATTGAAAATAATTTTACAAAAAAATTGATTATGCAAGTATGATTAATTTATTTGCTTCTGAAAATGCAAGAAGAGCGAGGATCAAACGACACTTATTAATTGTTGTAATGTAATACTAAGTATTTTTTGTAATTTTGACACAAATTTTGTATTTTATCTTATTTTTTTTTCATTCAATGAAAAAAAAAATGTGAAGGACCCCAAAAATTTATTAGTTAATTATTGGCTTTGGGCATCGGAAATCTCAGGGTCGGGCCTGTCTAGTAACCATCAATCTTGTACCATTACGTAGTCCATCTTTCGGTGCAATGTTTCTCAACAATATTATAGGACAACCCACTTCAACTCTAACTTAAAAGTTGGCAGCCCAGGAGGATCCAATGAATTTAAATATTCATTAGGATATCTATTTGTAATGGTAGGATCAATTTCATTATCTTCAAACATTTTATCTGCTGCAAGATAAGTATATAATCTCCCTGGAAAGATGTTCAACGCAGTAGTATTAATGTCACTGGCATCATCGTTACGCGCAGACAAAATTGTGTGTTCAGTTAAAAATGTTGGGGTTGACTTCTCTATCATATTCAACTGTGGGTAAACTGTAGAGAGTAAATCATTCAAATCTTGACGTTTGTGTATTGTTGATGGAAGGTTAACGATTTCTTGAGGATTGGTCCCAATCTAAAAAAAGTAAAATCGATAAAAAAAATAAGTGTAAATACAATTTATTAATTTAAAATAATTTATATAATAAGGAAAAAGGTTAAAGTAGTGTTACCTCCATCAAGAAATTAGCAAAATTAGCATTTTCATGGCCTTTAGGATTCAAGCGCATATTCAAATCCAAAGTTAAGATATGTATATGCTTCCATAAAATAGAGTGTCTTAATGATGCATTCACAATTTGCTCGCGAACTTCTTTGGGTATAACTGGTAAGATTTATCGAAAGTCTCTACCAAGAACAACAGTAATACCCCCAGATGGCTTTTCACTATCACAAATATCCTTCAATGTACGATCAATCGCCTCAACACAATGTTTATGTTGCATAGGAACTTTATCCCAAATTATGAGTTTTGTTTCTCTAAATAACTCAGCTTGTAATGATTGTTTGCTAAACCCACAAAATGAATTTTCCAAGACATCTAACGGAATGAAAAATGTTGAATGTGTAGTGTGACCTCCTACCAGTAACAATGATGCAATTCTAGATAAAGCCACAGTAACAACGATATGCCCAAGGCTGCGACATTTTAATGTAATCGTATTATACAAAAATATTTTTCCTCTTCCAACACCCCCATTCAAAAAGAAAACAGTTCCTTTATTTTGAAAAACTGAAGAAGTGATTGTGTTATAAGCATTCCGTTATCCATTGTTGAGACAATCAACAGTAATTTGTGGATCTGACTGTTGTGCCTCACTCTGCAGTTGTTGATGTTCGAGTATCAATCGATTACCAATTGCTATAGTCCAATTTGCAGTAGGTTGTGGCATGGGTGAGAAGTCAATTAAACTTTTGCCTGATTCATGAAGCATTTGATTCAAAAGATGGAGACCATAATCCTCAATTTGAGCATTAGTTGGGTTAGAAATGGCAAACAATATACGAATCTTATGTGCAAGATCATCACATATATGCATTGAGGATTGATTCCATAATGCACATGGATTTAGTGGAGAGCACTGGGTGAGAATAATACTAAACAATCTCCTCAATTGATATCCAGTTTTCATAACTGCAGCCTCTTTTAAGCAGTGTATCCATTCTTCACCATCTTCTAAAAGCCCCCTTGCAACATATGCTAATTTAAATGTATCATACACAACATTATCAATTGTGCGTACAGACTAAAACGACTTTGGTCCTTTGACAACGGTTAGTAACAAACGCGGATAAAATCTTTCACCACAATTATGGCTAGAAAAGTACATTTTACCAATTGCATATCCCTTTTCTCTTCATTTCCATCTCTTTTCTGACTTGAGCCAAACAAAATGCTGTGGAAATTCTTGGTAAGTGAATGGACATTCATCTTCACTGGTAGCACAATATGCAAAGAAGCCAGTAAGAGTTGACATTTTTTGACCCGCTCTAGATTGAATCGTTTCTAATGACTCTTCTGGGTTAAAAACAACGCGATGCATTCTAGGTAAATGAAGTGCCAATCGTACAACCGTTGGCATCTCTGCATGCAAAGGATGACCAAATATTCGCCAAGCAGCTTCTGGAGGTCCAATATACCTTGCATCGAGATATTGTTAAATCTCATTTATCATTCCCAACACCATCGTTGTACGATCATAACCCTTATGAATGTACTTATGTATATACTTGATACATCTCATTTCAGCACAAACTTCCACATTTATATGATAGTTGAAAAGTTTAGAATGATATGCATTGTATGGTACGACATCCTTATTATCAACTTCTTGCCCCCTCACAATATGTACTTGACCATTATTGCGACGACGATAGATAGGGTATCCATCTTGATCCATAGTTATTGTTTCTGTGAAAGCTCGAGGGTATCTCTTAGTGCATCTACCATTTTCCATACACGGTGCTTGCGGATTTCGAGCACCACATGGTCCATGTACCATACAACATTTGATAGTTTCAAAAAGCATAAGATCATCTTTTGGGTCTGAAAATTCTGCACAAACCAATTTGTTCACTTGAGCACATCTTCGAATTTTGTCTAGACCCTTAAGAAATAAAAGTGCATACATATGATGGAGACCTCGTTTTTGAAATTCAATTGTAAAAACTTATACAACTTTATTTCCAAACACCTGATTTGTTTCAATCTCTTTCATCAAATACTTTCTCTTCAACTCAAAAACACGGGCAATTAAATCAGGACGATTAATAGGTTTTTGATGTGGTAATAATGCTGAAGTAATTTCTGGCCAATTGGGATTTGCAGTCATGGTAAGAAAAATATCTGGGTGTTGGTCGTATCGCGTGATAGCCATTGAATCTGGGAAGATTTCAAACATATGTGTAGGACTACCAGTAAATGAAGATGGCAAAACAAACCTTTGACCAATTTGACCAGGTCGCACATAATCTTGATCAATATCTAACAACTCTTGATAAAGCTCAACCCGAAGTTTTCCTTGATTAAGTTTGCAGTATGTCAATCGATTTTGCTCAGTTGCAGCCCAAGCATCTACCAAAAACTCTTGAAATAATTTCCCACCTCTCAAAATTGTTGAATACTTTGTGGGTCGTTCAAACAAACGATAACTATAAAAATCCATTTGAGTAAGTCGATCAGTTGAAGGTCGATCATACTGAACGTTCCACAGTTTTAACTCAGGTTCCCATCCAAGCTTACCATATGGAAATAATAGAACATAATGTAATGGCAAGTATGCTGGGTGACATTTATTAATTTGCATCAACTCATTATTTCCTCGAAAATATAAGATAATATCTCTCATTTCACTTACCTCTATTTCATCTCCTGGTATTACAATAGCAATCTCATCTACAGTTGGTAGGTTATACCGACGTCGATCAGTTACTGAATTATAATGTAGATGAGCAAGTAGATTGTGTCCTGCCGAGTCTAATTGATGTAAAATAGCATGAGCCTGGTGAAATCTGTCTACAAATGCATTGACTTGCAACAAACTATCCTGAATAGTTTTCAGAACATCCCTCCTCAAGTTAGGATTTCTACGATTACGAATTTCTAAAGCTGAATTAGGGTCATAGATATACAGTTGAGCATAACTCGCATCCTGCCCCAGTTGTGGTTGTAGTGACCCTGTTCGATGTCGTAATTCCCCATGAATTGTGAATGATATAGGGCCCCTTCCACTGAGTACTCTAGGATCCAATGTAGCACCAAGACTCGTAAAGCATTGGCTGCATTATACACTCGAGTATAACTTCGAAAGGATTTTGATTGATCATTATTCCCTCATACAATGCCTGAAGTGGTGGAGGAGGTGTAATAAGTAAAGGTAGCCTAATCTTTCCTTCCAAACAGCAAGTTCCGAAGAGGGGACGCTTCATAAATGATTTTTTCAATTTTTCATCTACCCAATGTAAGGCTGAATAATAAGGACATAATACATCCATCTTGCCAAGATAATGGTGGTAGGAATCTTTGTGTGCCCAGGTGTCAATTAATGTACTCATAGACATATCTTCTAATTCATCCTCAGTACATAGATCTTCTTGAAGAAATCGATTTATAGGAGTAGACCTACGAATATTTGTGTATAAATAAAATTATATAAAACAACACAGTATGAGTAAGAGTATGTGTTTCAAGATTAGATATAATAGAATACTGATTCCTTTGTGGAGCTAAAGATGTGCTTGGCACAGAAAACGAACATGTAGAATGATGGGTAATCATTGTTTGTTTTTGTGCCGAATAAGAATCTTCAGTTATTGTTTCCCACTCCAGGCAAGCACGATTGCGACGAATTGGCGTTAAAGAAGGTTGTCGTGGTTGAAGAAGTTCTTCTGATCCCTCTTGTTCTCGTTGCAAGCATTGAAATTTAAAGTATGACTTTTCATTTTTTTCACGCTCTCGCCGGGCACGTTGGGCCAAGGCAGCTTTTGATATTACATTATCATGTTGTGCCTAAAATAAAAATATTTTATCATTGGTACAAAAAATGCATATATTGTGCTTAAAATGAAAAAATCTTCTTATTTCTTTCCTTTCTCTTAATTTTGTTTTCTATTTTTATTTGTTTTATACCTTTAATAGTGTTATCTTTATTTCTTTATTTCATCATTCATTTTGTATTTTATTAAAAAAATAAATAAGAATTAAAAATATTGGCCCATATATTTCTTTTTTCCTATTCTTTTCATATAAGTTGCAACTTATGGATGATACATTATAAATGCACATGAATCCATATAAAATATAAATAAAAAAATTTAGAAAACACATACAAATAATAGCAAGTTACAAAAAAATATATTACAATCATTTTACAAAAACAACATAAAACAACAAATTCATTTTATACACCCATAGCTTTTAACTATTTGAAATTTTGTTTAGTTTTGCATCATATTTTTAAAAAAGAATATATACCACTTGACTTGCATTTGTCATTCTCTTGTCAGAAGGAGCCATCTTTTCTTTTCCCTTAGATATTGGGTTGACCTTTTCTTTCTCTTTCGCCTAACAAATATAAATAAAATATTCAAAAGATTAAAAACATCTTATATAAATAAAATACATACAATGTTTGACTTGATTTTGTACTTACTGCACCAACACGGATAACATTAAGGTCGTACTCATCACGGATGACCACACCAACATTTTTAGATGGGGTTATAGGAGCAAGCCTACAGAAATGGATTGTGAATAAATTAAAATCTATATAATAAAGTGGTAATAGTAGGAGTATATATTTCAAGAATTAAACATAGTTGTTTACCAATTTGGTGTTAAAGAATGTTGTCTTGGGTTAATACATTCCTTTGATCTCTCTCGTTCTCGTCACAGACATTGTCCCAATTGGTATGCAGAACATGGCTTTTGATTTTTTTCACGTTCTCGTCGTGCATGTTGGGCCAATGCAGCTTTTGATAACACATTATCATTGTGCGCCTAAATAAGAATATTATATAATTAGATGCATAAAATGTGAAGATTATCTCCTCTCTTGCTTCCCTTCCATCATGTATTTTTTCTTTCTTTTAACTAACTTTTCCTCTTCATTCGGTTGAGTTGTTAATCATATAAAAACCAATGCATGTATTGATGAAATTTAAAAAGGGAGAAAAAAATAATTTGAAAACACATTAAGCACACAAAACTACAAACTCACTATGCACTTATTGCTTTAAAGACACGTTGACAAAATGTATGTTGAAAAGGTAAATATTAGATCATTAGATACGTGAAATGTGAATATTAACATGTAATGTTTTCTACTTTCCTTTTCCCTCTTGTTATTTCTGTTATATTAAATTTTATTTTGTCTTTTTCTTCTTTCCTTAAGAACTTATAAGAAAAAAAAAAAAAATTATATTCTATAGTTTCTTTTTCATCACATATTTGTTCCTTCTTCTTCCTTTTCTTTTTCATCACATATGCTATGTTGTAAATGCGACATGTGTTCATACAAATAGACAAACATATTAAAAATTCAGATTTAATATTTATACAAATGCATTAGCGTATATGACACTATGCGACATGTGTTTAACATGCTTCAGAAAAAATATTTCACAATCAATCAGAATTGAATAAATATTTGAAAAAGAAACTTTTAAAAAATGTAGATAAAAAAACATATATGACACTATGCAATTATTAAAAAATCTATATAAAATAATAATAATAAATATTCGAAAAAGAAACTTTTAAAAATTGTTGAAAAATCATACCATGGGATATGCATTTTCCTTTCTTTTGCCAGAAGGGGTAGTCTTTTTTATTTCCTTTGATATTGCTTTATTTTTTTCCTTTGCCTTTGCCTATAAAAAAATAAGTAGAATATATTTATCAATTATTTTTAAAATGATAAGAAAATTCATGTCCAATGTTTAAGTGACTTTTAGGCTTACCTCACGAATGCGAATTATAGCGATCCCGGTTTTCCTTTTCGTGCTTAACTGTAATCCGGATTCGATTTCATAAGGGTGCTGTTGTCTTATCCTCTTTCTATCCCTTTCTCTTTGTGTTCGAGCTTGGGGTTGTGTTGGGCAAGTTGGGAATAAGTTGGTTGCGTTTTAAAACGTAAAGTCTTTGCCCAATTTTTGGTCTTTCCGCTCGAGCGGCGATTTTGACGCTCGAGCGGGACTCTGTTGTTGCTTGTCCGCTCGAGCGGGGGTGTTGGCGCTTGTGCGGGGAAATCACCCATCCAGTATTTCGTCTGCAGTGGTATACGCTCGAGCAGGGGATTGGACGCTCGAGCGGGAGTATGTGTCTGACGCTCGAGCGGGGAGTTTGACGCTCGAGCAGGCATCATGTCTGTAAAAGTTCTGGGAGCGTGCATCCGCGCTCGGCGGGGGATTGGACGCTCGAGCGGGGATCTGTGAGTGATGCTCGAGCGGGGAGTTTGGCGCTCGAGCGGGGCGACTTTTATATAAAGCCGAGATTCGACCTTTTTGTTCACTTTTCAACATCCTTTCTCTCTCTTACTTTTCCAAAAAGCTATTTTGAGAGTTCCTCTCACTAAAACCCTAACTTCTCTCTTCTGGAATGATCTAGTAGGAGTTGTTTTCTCACCTTGGGCCTTTACAAAAGTTGTGTTGATCGTCGAGGGCTATCTTTTAATCTGAAAATTTCGGGATTTGGAGCATTTTCGTTTCTTCACCTCCTTCGTTGAGCCCCATCATTCGAGGTAGGGATAACCTACTCCATCTTATGAGTTTGTCTTTAAATTTTAGCATTTTGTTATGTTGGTGGTTGTTGAGTAATTTTTGAGAAGTTTAGGCCTTTGTATAATTTTACAAAAGTTGGGGTTTTAAATTATATAAACCTATATGCATGTTAGGCACATAGAGATAAATGAGACTTGAAGATTTGAGTTGAGATTTGAGAATATGGTAATTAGTGTTCTTGGAAAGTATTTGTATTGAAATTAATTGAAAATTAGAATGAAGAATAGAGCAATGATTGTGAAAGTGGGATGAAGGATTTGAGATTGAGAGATTGTAGCAATAATGGGCAAATTGATGATTTAATTCGTCATCAATATCCTAATTGGAATGTTGATATATTATCCATTTGTGCATTTATTTCCTGTTTAGAAATTAATTGCTTTGGCTACCGGTGGAGGGTAGTGTTGATTGTTGTAGACAATGCATGATGATTAGGCAAACTAAAACTAATCAATCGGAATGTGTCATAGAGTATGACGGTTTGATAGAATACATTAACTTTATGTATTGAGTGATTGTGTATATGACCAATGTGTTTATATGCATTATGTGTAGACGGTTGGAAGAATACATTAATTTTATGTATTGATTGATTGTGTATAGAGCCTTTGTGTTATATGGCATTGTGTAATAGAGGAGGAGATGGGGGATGTTCCGGCGGTTTAGGGGAAGATGGGGGATGTACCTCTAAACCGGATAGGATTGGGAGGAAGATGGGGGATCGAACTGAGACCCACAGCGTCTAGATGCGTCGTATTGATGATGTGAAGATACAGCTCATATGTGTGTCTAGTGAAGTGTGAGAATACAGCTCATTACTAGCTATGAATGTAATAGCTAATATGCTACTCTGTTGATCGTGTAATATGCTTATCTATTGAAAAGTTTGTTTGATTTGATATAGCGCTAAAATGTATATATATGTTGAAGTTGGATAATCTGTTTGTGATATGGAAGAGTTAATGTTATTATACACAGCATACACAAGTGTGAATTTTGAATGTCTCAGTGATGAACTATAATCTCATCAAAATGTTTTGGCCAGAGTACTGAGCCCTGTTTTTTTTTCAAACTCAAAGTTGAATAAGAAATGAAAAGTGAATTGTAACGTAGGCTTGGTTGTCATGGAATTGAAATAAGATGTAAATGGAGGTGTAAGTATCGACCATCTTTCAGTTGCTAATCTTTTAGGCATTGTTTATAATTGGTTTAGTATATCTCTGCTGGGCTGTGGCTCACCCTATGTAGACCATTATTTCAGGTACAGGTAGCGCATGCCACACTCTAAGGACATAGCTTGGGGAGGCTAGGGGCAACATACTTTTGTTGCTTTATTTTCTTGTTGATGTATTACACTGAAAATTCAAGCCAAGGGCTTAAATGTGTAACCGAGTCAATACTCTCTTTTGTAACCAAGCGTTAACTTGGAAAGCTGTAAGCCCGTAGGGCATTTACTTTTGTTGTTAACGTGTCTGTAATATCTTTGTAATAATGAAGTACTCGTGAGAATTGAGGAATGTGATCTTTTGTATATAATGTATGTTTATATGATGGGTTTAAATGTTATTATTTTGAGGGCGTTACAACTTGGTATCAGAGCGTACCGGGTTCGAATACTTTGGGTACGTGGGAAGTGATTAGGATCACTATGGGTTTGTCTCGCTTGATAGAGACTTAGATGTAGTGTCATAATGTTATGTTCTTAATTGATAACATGCTTATGTGACTATGTGGGTATGGGGTTTAGTCTCTAGGATGTTGATTGGATCCTTGGGTTTCTGGGAGTCCTGTTGGAAAGGCACTTGATCAATGCTGTTTCCTGACCGGAACTCTAGCAACCCGGCGCTGCGGGATTCATTATCCGGAAAGAAATTCGTAAATGCTTATGTGTTATGTGTCTGTACTGGGATGTGGAATTACAGTTGTCCATGTATTAGGACGTGAGTGTTTAGCTTCGGCACATGTATGAGTGTGCTAACGTGTCTCTGTTACTTTTACTAGGATGCCTAGGCGAGGAAGTTGCGATTTCCCTCCTTCCGCTCGGGAAGAGTTGCGGAGACAGTTTGTGGAGTTACGCCAAGGTACTACACCTTTGGTGCGGTTCGAAAGATGGTTTGCTAACCTGTCGAGGTTTGCTCCAGAATTGGTGGAGACGGAGGACTTGCGTTGTTTTGAGTTTGAGAGTAAGCTGCGTGACGACATCCGTGATAGGATTGCGGGGTCTTGGCATAGAAGTTATAGGGTGCTTGTTGAGGCGGCCGCCCATGTAGAGGCTGCGGTGCTAGCAATGGGGCAAAGTGGGGAGGAAGCCATCTCAGCGACTCCTGTGACTCAGGGTGTTGGTAGGCCTTTCAAGAGGCAGAGGGTTTTAAACCCGCAACAGGGAGGTCGGGCTAGAACTACCCTTCCAGTGTCGGATTTGGGTTCGGGAGAAAGTAAGCAGAAGGGCATCATTTGTTTCAAATGTGGTCTACTGGGCCACAAGGTTTCGGGTTGCCCACAGAAGAAGGGGGCAGGGTTAGCAGTTCAACCAGTAGTTGTACCATCAGGATCATCTAACCAACCGGGTTTTGGACCGATCAAATGCTCAGTGGGGAGGTAGTTGTTGGGGTCTTCATCAGCCCAGATTCTGAACCAGTCTCGTGCTCAGGCACCGCCTACTTGTTGGGTGTGTAATCAGCCGGGTCATATTCGACGTTTTTGTACTCAGCCGGGGGCTTCTTTAGGGGTTTCGCAACCTAGCCAGGCTCAGTTTCATTCAACTGGACAGGAATGGTATCGTTTTGGGGGACTAGCAGGCCAAATTGCGAGGGCCTCGGTAGAGTCGAGTTCCCAAGCCCCAGTTGGGGAAGTTTGTAGTTGTTCCAGGTGTGGACAGAGGGGGCACGTCAGTAGTTCTTGTCCGTGGTTAGTAAGCTCGTAGGTTGTCTTGTGTTTGGGGATGACTAATTTTGGCGGTCCAGCGAGGGACGGCAGTGGTGGTAATACCGAGGGGTTGGTCTTGTTTTGACTAATCCATTTTGTAATCGGTGGATTATTGTTTTGTGATCATTTGGTTCTGTTATGTAACCAATGTGTTTTGGGAATGTTGAAACATCTAAACTGTTTGTTTATCTAT